TGCTGTGTATGGCTCATGTTTCTGATGTTATCTGACGGATGTCACAAAACGTCTTTCAGCTCAGTGATTTCAATTCTGAAGGCCTTTTGTTCAGTGCTCCCCCCACACCCCAAACCTGACCTCTAACTTAAAGGAAAATTTTGAAAACCTGTCCTCGTCCATCAAACAAACTTCGGTTAAAGCTTTGTTTTGACACACAAATCACCAAGGCCGTACTGTCATGCTTTTTCACATTTTTTATGTCAAGCGGGCCTCGGAGGAGTCATCCTGGCCTTCGTCTCATCACGTTTGAACTATTGTAATCCACTCTACTCGGGTCTCAGACAAAATTCAGTCACCCGCCTTCATCTCATTCAAAACAAATTCACAGAGACAAGACAAAGTGATTCAAAGTTGAGCTGATGTGAAGCTTTTATTAAAGTTGTATTTGTTGTTACTTTAAAACCTTGCATGGGCTCATCCTACCCGCACTGTAGATTTAGTTGGTTGGTATTAATTGAGCGACTGGCTGCGTTTGTCGGGTCAGACCATTCTAACTGTTCCCACAATACCCTCATTACATAGGTGTTTGAGTGTTTTCTGTTACCATAGCAATCTCAGTACTTTGAAATCACTGCTCCATACTTTTCTTAGTAAATCTATTTTTACTGCCCCTTTATTATTTCTTTTTGTTGTGTTTATTCACCTGTTATTCACACAGCATGTTCAGATTTTATGCCTTGTTTTGATTTGTTACCTCTTTGTTTTTATATATTTATCATGTTTTGTAAAGCAATTTGTAACTATATATATTTTTTTCTTTATAGTTCTTATTATGTGGTCACAATATAAATTTGGTGTGGTTGCATTATGTAAAACTTAACGTTTTACACCTTGCAATGTAAGAATTGTCGGAAACACACAAAACCTACCAAAACATTTTGCTTTAACACGGTAAATCATACAGATGTTGTTTGTCAGATAAAGCTGCGTTTATTTTTCCAAGATTGTCTGATCTAAGTTCATGTGGCATGTTTTTCTTGCCCAACTGCAGAATAGCCGAATATCACCTGAACAACTATGAGTCAGCGCATGCAGCCTTCACTCAGGGACACCAACTGGACGGTGAGTGCAGCTCATTTTGGCCTCAAGTGCAGGTTCCTTAATTCCACTGTGTACCAACCACTGTTCGCAGCAGTGTCCTGTCCACTTTGCTCTCCTCATTGTTTTCATGGCTAAGTTTTGGGCCTTATCTTTAGGGCTTTTTTTTTTTTATGACTTACACAGTGATGACCATCTTAGCCAAAGGCATTATGTTTTTGGACATCTTACATCCATGCGTCACATTCTGGAGAACAAACCTTTTTTTTTTTTCTGTCCTTGTATTTGGCACAGATGTTCACTTGGTCTTATGGATGAACTGCATAGTTTTTGTTCATCTGAGGTCAAGGTTACTGTAATCTTACCATAACAGCAGAATTATTTTGCGGTTTGTGACAGACAGTTATGAAACTGTGACAGTTTCATACAGATAAAATAACAAAGTGATGACATTCTGTATTCAAATGGTCAAGTCTGAGTAGACTTGGATGTAGACTGTAATTCACTGATGTGGTCAAACTCCCCGTTCTCCATTCAGTTCTTACATTAGAACAGCCTGTGTGTTCTTCACATGTGTGTAGTTGGTGCTTGGGTAGTTCAACATATTTGCAGATGCATTGCTCCAAATCTTTGCATGTCGTTACTAGAGATGGGAATCACCATACAACTCACGATACGATATTATTGCAATTTTTAAAAATATTTTGCGATATTCAGATTCTGTACATAAAGGTAAACTTTATCAATATTCATTTT